TCTTTCCTGAAACCTTGTCTAGCCCTAATAGTGGGCGCATTTGGATTGATGTTATTTGTTAATGTCAAACCTAATTGATCTAGGACATCTCGTCCCCATAAATTTATAGGAAGATGATCCAATACATATGGCTGTATAGTTCCTTCACATCCTTCAGGATCCTTCCAATCTAATACCATTGCACTTCTATGGGGATTAGTCGCCACTCCTAGGCCTCGAAGCGTTTGAGTGGCTTGTTGTAACGGCCAATGTTTTGGCCATTCTTGACGAGATATGATGCTAAGGTCTGCACCTGTATCCAGTAGTCCATTAAATTCATGTCCTTGAATATTTAGTTTTAGCATGGGACGAGAATCTAAATTTAAAGACAGCATAGCCCAATCTACACCTGTGGAGCCTAATCCCCTGGAACCTCTTTCTATAGTACTACTGGAAAATTTATCATGTAGGCTGGGTATTATTAATAACTGTGCTATTCTATCTCCTGGTGAAATTACTGATATACCCTTTGGAGAGCTAGCTATAATTTTTATTTCACCTTCATAATCGGGATCAATTACCCCGGGACTTATCATAAGTCCTTTTAGCGTAGAAGAACTGCGTCCTAACAATAAGCCTACTGTTCCTTGGGGAAGAGGTCCTTTTACTCCTGTGGGAATGATTTGAACTCCCATCTCTGGAGTTAGTACTGCTCTGGCGGAGGCGCAGATGTCCAACCCTGCGCTTCCTCTGGTTCGTCTGATGAGAGATCTGATGGATAATGTGTCCTGGGCACTACCCTGATGGTGTTGCTGGGTTCCTCCATGGTGTTTCTGGGTTCCTCCAGTGCCCCGTACATTTGTGGTCGTGGGCCCCGGAGCATTGGGCCCCCCTGTCCGTTTTTTGGCAATGGAGCTCGATGCCTTTCTCCACGATATCGTGGGTAAACACTTGGTCCTTGTCTGTTTTTTGATAACGGAATACCCTCTATGGTGGTTTGAGAACGGCATTCATTAGCCCAATGTTTCCCTCTACGGCATCGTGGGCAAATACCCGGTATTCTATTCGTTTGATATCTAGCTTTGTTAAACCCTCCTCCTATGGGGCAACTCCTTTTAAAATGTCCTGTTTGATCACAATTATAGCATGTTTTTGGCCTGGCATCTAAAGCCTGTTGTACTGCTGCTAAGACTTGCCCTTGTTCATTAATGTCTCTACATAATTTAATATATGTGTTTAAATCTTCATGTCTCCATGGTCTAATGACCTCTCTGCAACAACGATTTGCTTGGTCATAAGCCAGTTGTTTTATAAATGGCATTGCCTGTTCTGTATCCCCAAAAATTCTGGAAGCTGCTTGAATAAGCCTATCTACAAATTCAGCGTAAGGTTCATTAGTTCCTTGTATTACCTTAGATAATTGACCTTGTAAACCTCCATGCCCCTGTAAAGTTTTCCATGCCCTAACCGCATCTACAGCAATTTGTGCGTATACGCCAGGATCATATTCAATTTGTTGCCGTTGACCCTCATAAGGCCCTTTTCCTAACAACATATCTAGATTTCTTTGAGGGTAACCGGCTGCTGCATTTCGTCTAGCTGTCTCCCTGCAAAATTCCTCATTGGCAACCTTCCATAACAAATATTGTCCTCCATTTAGCACAGATTTACACATACTAGCCCAATCTGCTGGCGTCATGTCCAAGTTGGTAATGGATTCGACCATGCTTACAGTGAACGGTGCTTGAGGACCATAGGTTGTTACAGCCTCCTTTAACTGCTTCACTGTTTTGAAATCTAAAGCACGGTGAATTCGCTGCCCTCCTGCCTGCTCAAGTACAGGGCATGCTAATCTTTGAGGTCCTGTCTCAGGATCCCATCTATCAACTACGGGGTTTGAGGGCCACTCAGCTATCTCCATAGGGGGAGCTGTTGGTTGAATTACGCCCTCTGGTGATAGAACGGTGTTAGTAGCAGCCTCCTGTTGTAGCTTTTTCCCTAATAGCTGTTTCTCCTCTAAGCTTTCTTCCTTTAAATTTTCTTCCTCTGTCTGACTAGCTTGAGAGACCTTCTCTTTTGCTTGATCTAAAATGTCTTTCTCCATGGTCTGAACCTCTAACAATTTACTTAACACTCTTTCAGTTTGTTTTTTACTAATTTCTAATCTGTTATAAAGATAACGCAACCCAGTAAGATAACACAAAACAAAACCGAAACAGAATGAAACAAAAACGGAACAAAAAATCGTTGTATCAATTTTCCTATTTTCTTGACATGTGCATTTGTGGTCTATTTCTATCTCTTCCTCAGGGGCGAACAACTTCAAACCTTGAGCCAACCATTTTTCCCAATCTGCCTGAGAAAATTCTAGGGATAGGCAGCTTGAAACAAACACAAAACAAATCAAAACAAGAACACATTGTTTTTTAAAATGGTCGCCCATTCTCTCGCCTTCCCTTAGGGGCAAGCAATTTCACTTACCCCGAAGCTTCAGATGTTCCCCGAACGGGCCGCCAAATGCCGCAGTCTGGCTGGGCACAAATCACGAGCCACTGAAGCAGGAACAAACTTTATTTTTAAACTGCAGGAAAACACTTCACACAGCTCCCGGGGAATCCTCCCGAACGCGCCACGAGGCTTGTCCAGGAACCCCCAGCCGGAAATATCTCTCCCGGAAATCCCTCCTCCTGCACTTCCCCAACCAATGGGAACTCTCGGGGAATCCCCGGAAATCCCCATGAGAACTCCAAAATAGTGCGAGAACTCAAAAGTTGCGGCATAGGCGGATAGTAATGCCTCGCCTGTCAATCAATACTGTTGGCAAAATGCCAGGGGCCATACAGACTCCGCCGTGGCTCTCAGCAACTTTGTAAGAAACAAAGGTATGAAACAAATGTAATCCATAGTTTTAGCAGTCATCTTGGCTTCTGAAAATAAGAAAATCTCAAATATCCAGAATTTGTAAAGACTTAACCAGTTTGAGTACACAGGTTTTTTCTAATTATTTTTGAGCATCATTTTAAGACATTTTAGGTAGGAATAATTGAAAATATACCAATACTGACCTGTGTTCTTTCTACAGTAGTTTTAGTTAGCTTTTTATTGCTGTGACAAAAATACTTGACAAGAACAACTTACAGGAGAAAAACTTAATTTTTGGCTCATGGTATTATAGCTCAGTGGTGGGCTGAATTCACTGTGCTTGGCGCAAGGCAAAGCAGATGATAGAAGGGTTCAACAGAGGAAAGCTGCTCAGCTCATAGAGGTGTTCGGGAAGCAGAGAGGAAGTGGCTAATGGGCCACAGGGAAGATGCACCCTTCCAGGCCATGCCCCCAGTGACTTACCTCCTGCAGCCATGCCCTACCTGCCTGTAATTAACCATCAGTTCATTCAAGCCTGGATAGACTGATTAGGTTACAGCTCTCACAGTCATTTCACTTCCAAACATACCTGCATGAACAGGGGAGCTTTTGGAGGACACCTCATATCCATAGCAACAGTGTTTAAACATTTAATTTTTTTTATTGAACCATGAGCATCATTAAGAACAATACTACTTAGATTATTCCCAAACATGGTGATATTGGCAGGGTCTATTAAGGGAGGTAATGTTGCTTCTTCCACAGAGACTCAGATTGTTTCCTTCTCACAACCACACATATACAAATACACATATAACACTTCCCTACATAATTTGATTCTTTCTACCTTTTCTGTAAAATTTAAAAAATTTTTTCCTACCATGAACTGTTTTTTGTGTTGATATACTACTGATTTGTATTATCCTTTTTTTCCTTACTGTTTCTAATCTGCTAAGTCCTTAGAAGCTGAATAACCAAAGTCATTGAAATTAGCATAAGATGTGTTTAATGTAATCTTGGCTGTTATCTGTTCATAAAGTGAATAAAATGAACAGATTTGCTGTTCAACAGTATTTCTTTCATTTTATTTTTGGACTATATTTCAGATAGAGAAGGTTGCCAGAGCAATTTCCTCTTTGAGTAAAATATTGCTTTACTCAAAAAGAAATACTAAAGTGAAAAATCATGTGCTTTGTTGTGGGAAACTAATAAGGTATAGATTTCAACTGAGCAAAAAGTGGAATGTTGTAAACAGCTTACCTAATTATAGCGTATACTCTTTCTAGTCCTTTTTCCTTATTTGTAACTTATAATTCATAATATTTACTTTTGTAAGTTTGTGTAGAAAACAAATAAGGTAATGTAACAAGTGTTTGCAAAACCACCATGTGTTGTTGAGCACTGTGAAGTGTTAGAAAATGAAGTCAATCTGGTAAGACTAAGCTCTGGAAAATCAATAAATACTGCTGCCCCCAACCCACGAAGGCAGCTGAACTTAAGGTCAGTGGTGTGAATTCCCAGGTACACCAAATAAAACACAGATACACACTTTACCTTTAAACAAGCTTCAGGATGGCTTCTCCACTCTCAGCCTCAGGCTCCTCAAATAGGAGAGCAATAAAAAGTCATGCAAGGCTGGCGAGAGAGAGCAAGCACATTCAATAGTGGGCTTTTATTGCAGGGACCCTTATTCTTAGAAAGTTCCATCCAGAAAAGTTCAGAAGGGGCAGGGTTACAAAGGACAGGTGAGTGTAATTTGATCCAAGGGGCCATGGAGCGACATGCCTGTGTCTGAAGACATGCCCTTAACTTCCTGGACCGGGGACAATGTCCAGGTCACCACAAGATGTCAATGCCTCTCTGCTCCAGGATGGAAGACACAAATCATTCAGAGTGCCTCCCCACAAAATACTATAGTAAATAGACTGTTGGTGCTAAAGAGCTAAAGTAAGTTTTTAAGTAGATGAACCATGAATAACAGTGTTTCATGCTAGAGTGGTTTAGAATGGGAGATAGAATCTGGAGGGTCATGTACGACCTAATTGTATCATGGCTCTAGTTTTAAGTCACAAATTATTTACAAGATTTTTAATTCTACCTTGATCATTGAGCTTTCAGAATTATGCTCATTAAAATGTTTCCTTTTTTTCTTCTAACAGTTTGATAAAGGGAGACACAGCAGCTTCTTTGCCCATCATCAGCTATTCTCTTACTTCATACTCACCTTATGTAACAGAACTTCTGATGGAATCCAACGTAGAGCTGATAGCAAAGAATGACTTGCGCTTTATAGATACTGTCTATAAGGTATTTTGAGTTGATGATGAAACAATAATATTTTAGAAGTTATTAAATGATTTGAAAAAACTAATGTTTTAATAATAATTCCTTAGATGCTGTCACATGTCACTTAATGATGGGGATATTCTGAATAGTGTGTTGTTTGGTGATTTTGTCATTATGCAAACATTATAGAGTGTACTTACACAAACCTTGATGGTATGTCCTATTACATACCTAAGGTATATGTATAGGCTATTATTCCTAGGCTGTAAAGTTATACAACACATTACTGTACTAAGTGTTGTAGGCAATTGTAATACAAAATAAAGATTTATATATCGAAACATATAAAAGGTATAGTAAAAATATTAGGCAGTAGGAATTCTTCAACTCCATTTTGATCTTCTGGGACCACTGTCATATATGTGGTCCATCATTGACCAAAATGTTCTGCAGCCCTGGATTGTGTATGCAGCATATATAATTGACAAAATATTTCATACTCATTCATGACATTAAAAAGCATACCCTATGGAAATCAAATGCAATTCAAGTTTGCTTTGTAACTGTGAATGTTTCCTACTCTGATAAATTATGGCAACTATAAACATTAGTCACTGACTATCATTTGCCATTTTTCTATCAAATGTTAGTAAAATTTGATACACTGGCAGAACTTAGAGGTGAATGTAATTACATTCAGTAAAAATTTGTAGTTCATAAAATTATGAGTTAATGTAATTGTGCATAAGAACTGAAACTTTGAGGTAATTTGTTCTTTGAGGTCTAAGACCTTGTCTTATATTTATCTAACTAATATCTACATTTCTACTGTGTGTATATTGAATTTAATTTTAAAAATATTTTTAATCATTTATTTTTTCTCAAGTATTGTGTTTTTTTAAAACTTTTTTTTTATGGTAAGGCCTATTTATTAGATCTTACCTTTAAAAAACAATAGAGTTGCATTTAATGGAATGGGAGCTTTTATATGTATTCTAACCCCAGAAAGCTCCTATAGAAGCGTAAATAGAAGTTGTAAGAAATATTAGGATGTCACCTAGCAGAACTTTACAACTTTAGAACCACTGGTCTAGTCTGTTCACAAATGAGAAATTGAGATCAAAAAAAATATTGACTTGGGGCTGGGGTTGTGGCTCAGTGGTAGAGCGCCTGCCTAGCACGTGTGAGGCCCTGGCTTCGATCCTCAGCACCACATATAAATAAAATAAACATATTGTGTCTAACAACTAAAAAATAAATATTTTTAAAAAACATATTGACTTGTCTAAAATTGTAATAGAATTATAAACAAATGGAACTATGGTTTTCTGACATCTAGTATGGTAGCATGGTATTTTAATGAACTAAGGAGATTTTCTAGTACCTACGAAGACTTTTGAACTTTTTGATGATTGACTATTTTTGCATCTCTCTGGCACATTCCTAGCTACCTGGTTGGTTGGTTGGTTTGTTGGTTTTGCTGTAATGGGGATTGAACCCAGGGATTCTAGGCAATACTAGGGCAAGGGTTCTGTCACTGAGCTACATTCCCCAGACCTCTAGCTGTCTGTTTTCTACATGGATGCCTCTCATGACTCACACCAGCTCTATAAATTTTTGTAATAGCATTCATTAATGACTTAGTCTTTCTTGTCCTCTCGAAGATCGCTATCTCCTGACCTAGTAGCCATTTATCATTTTGGATTAAAGAAGAAAATGGTTCCATTACAGAATCTTTTTCCTCTTTGCAGCTTCTTCGTGATCAATTTAATTATAAACCAATTTTGACAAAAAAGCAATTTATTCAATGTGGGTTCGCAGAATGGAAAATCCAAATTACTTGTGATATTTTGAATTGTGTGATGAAGAAGCACAAGGAATTAAGTAGTCTTACCAAGGTAATTCTGTGAATAGATTTGGATGCTAACTTATGCTAAATGACCCAACATTTTAATGTATAAAATTAAGCCCCTATATAGCCAGTTGTTGCATAATACAATTATTACATTATTCACAGATTTGGGTAATCTTAAAGCTTTATGTTTACTTTAAATACTAGTCACTTATTTTTATACACCTGTAACTTGGAACTGCTAGTCCTAAACCAACAGTTCAAAGATAGTGCATTTTCATCACTTCTTAGTTTTTAAAAGACATGTAGTTTCTAGAGTCTCATTATTTTTAGATATATTTATATATGAATATTTATATGATAGTGAAATTAAGTATACATTATTCTTTCACAGAAAATTTGTAATCAATGCCTTTTTTTCTGGTATTGAACATTGAATCTAGGGGCCCTTTACCACTGAGCTATATTCCCAGATATTTTATTAAGACAGGTCTCACTAATTTGCTTAGGTTCTTGCTAAGTTGATGAGTTTGGCCTCAACTTTCAATCCTCCTGCTCTCAGTCTCCCAAGTCACTGAGATGAAAAATATGTGCCACCATGCCCAGCTATAATTATGTCTAATATCATTTTGTTTCTAGACTCCATCACAACAAAGAAAGAAAAGCATTGCTGGTAAGTCAGAACCTTGTTCAAGCAATGGGAAAGCACTTTTAGAACCTGTCAGCATTGATGTCACGACTGGCAGGTTTCTGACTTCAGGAAAGGTATGAAAATATGAAAAAAAAACTTGTCATATAATTTAATAAAGAGTTATCTGTATGGTGAATATGACATACATGATTCACTTCTCTGCCTGGCTCTGGTGAAACTTTTGAGTCAAATACTACAATATAGGAATGTTTATTTCATATACCAAATATTGTTTGGGAAATGTTCCTGAAGTTTTAAGAAGAGAATAGCAATGTAAAATCAAATAAGCCTTATGTTTCTATTTTCAAATTCTGCTTCATTTCCCAGATAAAATACTGGCAATCTAAATTTACATTATGCAATTATCTACATCTACTCTTCATTATGTGTATCTGTTCTTCCTAAAATGGGAACATATGAAGAGCCCACCATTAATTATAGTGGAGGTTATGATGATAAATTTACATACATTGATGGTTTTACAATTAAGAGTATTGATTATCTAATGATTGATAATCTCCTAATTTGGAATTGGGTTTTGGTTGTTTTAAATGTAGGTGTTTTTAATATTTTCTCTGTTTTGATATCAGTTTTTGACTACTTTTAGCACCTATGCCTAAGTGTATCCAGTATGTTTAGAAGTATAGTTTTTCTATCTCCAAGAGATATTTAAACCAAAGTATTATTTTTTAATTATATATGTACTTTCAGCTGTCTTCTATCTGGCAAAAACTTTCTGAGATTGAAGGATAGTATGCCAGATGAATAGGTTCTTATGCTATGTCAGTAAAGGAATTCTAAGAGGCGTGGATTCTGAATAACTGCCCATAGTTCTCATCCATACACATCTCTAAGTCTTCTAACTCTTGTTAGTTTTTTATGATTTTCTGACTGTTAAATGATTTATATCATATATCCTTCCCCAACTAGAACATGGGTAAACAGGGATTTATACCACTTTTTTTTTACTTTCACTGTGCTTTAGCATAGTATTGGGCATATTTAATAAGTACTTATTACTTTGATATTAAATATGATTTGATATAATTAAATGTACTTTTCAATTTATTTCAGTGTGTAGGTTGAAGGGTAATCTAAATTATCCTAACAAAGAAAAATGCAAAATTTCAATACACTAGACTTGTTTTTTATTGTCTTAGTTTTCTTCATTATCTATCAAAATTTAATGATTTATGTCAGATCTTCAGTCTGACATAATTAATAATTAATCATCAGAAATTTGAATAAATATTAAAATTCTAAGATTTAGAAAAGTTAGAATCTTAAGTACATTCCTTTGTTTATGGGCAAAATATGAATCTGTATTAAAGCAAATTATCTCCTTCACAGCACTTTATACAGAATGCTATTCATGACTTTGTCACATATGTTAAGTTTGTATAGTGCATATGCAAACTGTGGACAGTAAGTAGGCAAAAGAGCCCTATATAAATGCATTGTTGGACCTAGTTCTTGTCAGAATTTTCCCTTTGCCATTATTAGGATTTGATTGTTACCTGAAGGTGTAATATATTGTGACTTGTTAATTATACTTTTTAGTTTTAATAGTATAATTATCTATTAAAAACATGATTTTAACATGTGATCAATGTTTTAAAATTGAGCGATTTTTTTTCTTTTCTTGTGATAAGTCTGAAATACCCTGTGTTCTGTGTTCTTCTAGCACATGTTGATTTAGACTAGCCATATTAGACTGTGGTTACTGTGTTGAATATCACAGCTCTTTTAAAATAACATTTTATATTATGTAATACTTTAAACATTTATAAAAGTACCCATTACCTCATTTCAAAAATTTACCAATTCTTTGCTAATCTAGTTTCACTTTTATTGCAGTAACTCTTCCTGACATTTTCAAACAAATCTAAAGATCGTTAAATAAATATTTCAATTTTTTTCTAAAATAGAAATGTTTTAAAATAGAATGCTTTTAAAAATATGAACCACAGTTTCATGATCACACATAAAATATTGTAACAATAATATATTATAGTATTTTGATACATTATATTATATATGGCGATTTAAGATTTTTTAAATCTTGAAAGGAAGATCAGGTATTCTTTTTGCAAAATGACTATGTGTTGTTTGAAATAACTATGGGAGTACAACCATTAAAGTATTTCTTACATATTTTTCTTATGCAGAAGAAAGCTGTGGTGATTCGCCACCTGTATAATGAAGATAATGTTGACATTCCTGAAGCTACAACAAGTTCAGTAGCAGATACTGATGAAGCATTTGATATGTTGGGCTTAAAGCCTTCTGAAATAAACATTCCTGAAGAAAACGTGCCTGAAATCAAGGATGAGCAAAAAGTAAGAATGTTAGACTTCTTTATCAAATGCCAGTATTTCTTTTGATAACCTTGACTGTTTCAGTATTTAAACTTTGCCATATTTCTAGCCTTTTGAATTCTTAATGATGGCATGTTACTCATGTTATCATTATGTAGTAATCAGTCATACTAAATATAATTAAACTGATATTATTTGTTATTATGTTTAGGACTTTGGACATATGTTCTGAGTAATGCAAAAAATAAGAAGACATGGTGTCAGGGGTGGAAGGGGAGAATGAAGTTCATTGGATTGGACAAAGGGGAATAAAGGGAATGGAGTGGGGATGGGACTAGGAAAGACAGTAGAATAAATGAGACATAAGTTTCCTATGTTCATATATGAATACATGACTAGTGTAATTCCATATCTGGTGTAGCCATATGAATGGGAATTTATACTCCGTGTATGTATAGTATGTCAAATTATACTCTACTGTCATGTATATCTAAAAAGAACAAATAAAAAAAAATTTAAAAATTTATAATCTAGTGAGATAAAATATAACACTTTGTGCAGTGGAGTTTGCCTACTACTTGTTTTCCTATATTGGTGATTGGAAAAGCTTGGCACGTCATTGTCTTTTCATTTTCCTCTCTGGATCCATGCTATTTTTTTTTTTTTTAGATTACCATTTCTGTTAGCCTTTATTGCCATGGACCCTGTTATGTATATGATCTCTACTGCTTTTGCTAAAATATCTGTTTCTATCCTTCATCTATGTCATACGATTTCTGTACATCTTAATATATAATTGGCATTTATAAAACATACCAGATAGCCATTTGACTTATTTCCTGTTATATGGCACAGTGAATAATCTCAATGCACTTAATGTCATTTTTGGTCATTTCCTCTTAGTTTTGTTTGTTAAAAGAAATTGTTAGTGGAAATTTTATAGTACCATCTGTATTATTTAAGGGCATTATGTAGATTCACTCACAGGAACCCTGTTAATAGTTACTGTTGCTCTATTTTTTTAGGTGGGAATGGAGACGTCAGATCTCATATTTGAGATGAACTAACTTAAATGTTCAAGTAGTCTCCTTCCAGTGATAGTTCTTTTGACTCTTGCTGTACTGCCTCTCCTAACTATTGGAATAACATGGTGAAAATGGGAATACATTGACTTTAAAGGAATTTCAACTTATAAATTAATCTTTTTAATCATTTTAGGATGTAAAAGTTAACCTCGAGATTACTGCACTACAGACCATGCTTGCTGAATGCCAAGAAAAGCTTAATAAGTTGCCTTCCATAGAGAAAAGGTTAGACTGTTTGGAAGAAGCAATGAAAGGAAAAGTGATGGTAGATGAAACGACCTGGACTAATCTTCTGAGTCGTGTCACTCTTCTTGAAACAGAATTGCTTTTGTCCAAAAAGGTATTTTTCCTTAGCATGTCTAGAATATCTCAGATATAATAAAGCATTTTTTTATTGTTAGGTGTGTTTTCTATTGGAAATTTAAATATGAGAGTATTTAGGTAATGAGAAAATGTTTACTTAGAATGAAGTCCTGTCTAAATATAGCCTGTTTTATCTGTGGCTATTATTTTTCTCTTTATCAAGTAGGATAATCTGGAAAACCTGTAAATTGAGCTCTAAGTTGTTAAAAATACTTAAATTACTTAAAATGAGGTAAGAATATGTTTGATTTTGTTTATAAAAAATTTGAAATTAATCTCTTAATAGTACAATATTTGAAGAAGATGAAAAATCAACTCTTTTTTTACTTAATAACTTCTATTGTGAATTTCATAGAAATAATAACTGAACTTAACATTGTTGTATTGGAACTGAGAAATTTGTTTCTATTATTTAGAATTCAATTCTGTTTTTTTTTTTCTTCATAGAAAATAAAGTTGGTAGATTCAAGAAGCTTGAATTTGCTTCTACATTTAAAAGATACTTCTAATGCCTACAAATACTTACATATTGCTTTGAAAATAAAATAATTTAAATTATTTAACATTGTTCTCTTTTAATATTTTATACATGGCAGTAAGAATATAAAATGAAAACATTTTTCTTTTCATTTTATTCTAAATGTTTATAACTATACTTTGCAGAATGAATATATAGACTTAAATGTAGTGAGTGAAGAATGTGCTTCTGGTAGTGATGTAGATCTTCAGACTCTTGGTAAGTCCCTAAATAGTATTATTATTGGTGGTATAACAAGGGATTTTCAGAAAAATAATTTTTATCGGTACTTGGTAATTTTAGTGTTCTCAAGCCTTGTTTTTTAAAGAAAACACAAAGCTTCCAGAAGAAAATAATGAACCTAAAAACTACTGAAACTAAGGACTGCTTGAGAAGCCAGTTTACATATCTCATGTAACATAGTTGGGTGAATAAATTCCAGTGTACATAGTTGCAAACCTTAGAGACATCTTGCTCTTTTTGTCACTCTAGATTAACAAAATAGACCTTTAGTGTTTTTAATTTTTAAACTTTTGTAGCATTCTTGAATGCAAATAATATATGTAAAAGAAGAAAACATTTGTCAGTAATCTGTGAAGTATTGAAAACTTTTTGCATTTGAATAGTTCACTGATAGCAGTAAAAGAAGAAAGATCTAAAAATTAGTGACAGCAGTGACAGATCTTTCCCATGTCTCTTGCCTTCACAAAGATATTATCAGGGTGACTGAGCTGCATGGAGCAGCTTGGATAAAGATTTCTGTTTTTCAGCAACAGCTTTTTTTTTTTTTTTTGCTCTTTTTAAAATGTTTAAAAATGTGTTTTAATTAGTTTTACATTGCATCAACAACAGTTTTGTTCTTTTGATTCTTCCATTGATCTTGAAAGACATGTTTTTATTTTGTGTCTATGATTAAATTGTATTTGTAGGAGAAATACTTTGTACAATTGAGAATTCATTGTGCAGTTAAATTTTAGTATATGTAAAGTTTAGTATATAGTATATAGTATAAAGTTTAGTATATAGTATAATCTTCAGCTACTATATATATAATAATAACAACAGTACATTACAGTGGTAACTGTGTGCCTGGCACAATTCTACCTATTATATTAACTGATTTAATTCTCAAAATAACTACCCAAGATAAATACTATTATTACCGATATTTTATAGATTAAGAAACTGAGGTACAGTGAGATTGAGTAACTAAGGGTCACACAGTTATCGAATGATAGACAAATTTGAATGCATGCAATCATTTCTTTTCTCTTAACCACTACTTAATTAGTATACGTGCCAATTTCTTTTTCTTTCTTTAATTGCTTTTATTTTTTAAATACATGACAGTGGAATGCATCACACTTCTTATTACACATACAGAACACAATTTTTCATATCTCTGTTTGTATATAAAGTATGTTCACACCAATTCATGTCTTCATACATGTACTTTGGATAATTATGTCCATTACATTCCACCATCATTGCTAACCCCCTGCCCCCTGCCTTCCCCTCCCACCCCTCTGCCCTATCTAGAGTTCGTCTATTCCTCCCATGCTCTCTCTCCCTACCCCATTATGAGTCAGTCACCTTGTATCAGAGAAGACATTCGCCATTTGTTTTTTTGGGATTGGCTAACTTCACTTAGCATTATCTTCTTCAGCACTATCCATTTACCTGCAAATGCTATGATTTTATTCTCTTTTTTTGCTGAGTAATATTTCATTGTGTATATATGCCACATTTTTTAATCCATTCATCTACTGAAGGGCATTTAGGTTGGTTGTACAGTTCAGTTATTGTGAATTGTGCTGCTATAAACATTGATGTGGCTGTATCCCTGTAGAATACTGTTTTTAAGTCCTTTGGGTATAGACCCAGGAGAGGGATAGCTGGGTCAAATGGTGGTTCTATTTCAAGTTTTCCAAGGAATCTCCATACTGCTTTCCATATTGGCTGCACTAATTTGCAGTCCCACCAGCAATGTATGAGTGTGCCTTTTTCCCCACATCCTCGCCAACACTTATTTATTTTTTTTGTAAAGAGGGAGAAGGAGAGACAGAGAGAGAGAGAGAGAGAGAGAGAGAGAGAGAGAGAGAATTTTAATATTTATTTTTTAGTTTTTGGCGGACACAACATCTTTGTTTGTATGTGGTGCTGAGGATTGAACCCGGGCCGCATGCATGCCAGGTGAGCGCGCTACGGCTTGAGCATATCCCCAGCCCTCGCCAACACTTATTGTTGTTTGTCTTGATAATAGCTACCATTCTGACTGGAGTGAGATGATTTCTTAAAGTAGTTTTGATTTGCATTTCTCTAATTGCTAGCGATGATGAACTTTTTTTTTATATATTTATTGATTGATTGGATATCCTCTTCTGAGAAGTATCTGTTCATGTCATTAGCCCATTTATTGATTGGGTTATTTGTTTTTATGGTGTTTAGCTTTTTGAGTTCTTTATATACCCTAGAGGTTAGTGCTCTGTCTGATGTGTGAGGGGTAAAAATTTGCTCCCAGGATGTAGGCTCTCTATTTACCTCACAGATTGTTTCTTTTGCTGAGAAGAAACATTTTAGTTTGAGTCCATCCCATTTATTGATTCTTGCTTTTAATTCTTGTACTATAGGAGTCTTAGTAAGGAAGTTGGGGCCTACTCCCACATGATGAAGATTAGGGCCTACTTTTTCTTCTTTAGACGGAGAGTCTCTGGTATAATCCCTATGTCCTTGATCCACTTTGAGTTGAGTTTTGTGCATGGTGAGAGATAGGGGTTTAATTTCATTTTGTTGCATATGGAGTTCCAATTTTCCCAGTGCCATTTGTTGAAGAGGCTATCTTTTCTCCAATGCATGTTTTTGGCGCCTTTGTCCAATATAAGATAATTGTAATTTTGTGGGTTAGTCTCTGTCCTCTATTCTGTACCATTGGTCTACCAGTCTGTTTTGGTGCCAATACCATGTTGTTTTTGTTACTATTGCTTTGTAGTATAGTTTAAGGTCTGGTATAGTGATGCCACCTGCTTCACTCTTCCTGCTTAGGATTCCTTTAGCTATTCTGGGTCTCTTTATTTTTCCAGATGAATTTTTCCAGATGCTTTTTCTATTTCTCTGAGGAATGCCATTGGGATTTTGATCGGAATCGCATTAAATCTGTATAGTACTTTTGGTAGTATGGTCATTTTGATAATATTAATTCTGCCTATCTAAGAGCAAGGTAGATCTTTCCATCTTCTAAGGTTTTCTTTGATTTCTCTCCTTAGGGTTCTGTAGTTTTCATTGTATAGATCTTTCACCTCTTTCATTAAGTTGATTCTCAAGTTTTGTTTTGTTTTGTTTTTGAGGCTATTGTAAAAGGGTAGTTTTCCTCATTTCCCTCTCAGAGGATTTGTCACTGATATACAGAAATGCCTTTCATTTATAGATGTTGATTTTATAACCTTCTACTTTGCTGAATTCACTTACTAGTTCTAGAAGTTTTCTGGTGGAGCTTTTTGGGTCTTCTAGGTATAGAATCATATTGTCAGCAATTAGTACTAGTTTAAGTTTTTCTTTTCCTATACATATCCTTTTAATTTCTTTCGTCTGTCTAATTGCTCTGGCCAGTGTTTCAAGGACTATGTTAAATAGGAGTGGTGAAAGAGGGCATCCCTGTCTTGTTCCAGTTTTTAGAGGGAATGCTTTCAATTTTTCTCCATTTAGAATGAAGTTGGCCAGGGGCTTAGTTGAGACAGCCTTTACGATGTTGAGATATGTTCCTGTTATTCCTAGTTTTTCTAGTGTTTTGAACATGAAGGGGTGCTATATTTCGTCAAATGCTTTTTCTGCGTCTATTGAGATGATCATATGATTCTTATCTTTGAATCTGTTGATGTGATGAATTACATTTATTGATTTCATTATGTTGAACCAACCTTGCATCCCTGGGATGAATTCCACTTGATCATGGTGCACAATATTTTTGTTACGTTTTTGTATTCGATTTGCCAGAATTTTATTGAGAATTTTTGCATCTATGTTCATTAGAGATATTGGTCTAAAGTTTTCTTTCTTTGATGTGTCTTTGCCTGGTTTTGGAATAAGGGTGATATAGGCCTCATAGAATGAGTTTGGAAGTGTTACCTCTTTTTCTATTCCCTGAAATAAATTGAAGAGTATTAGTATTAGTACTTCTTTAAAGGTCTTGTAGAACTCGGCTGTGTATCCATCCACTCTTGGGCTTTTCTTGGTTGGTAGACTTTTGATGGCATCTGCTATTTTATTACTTGATATTGGTCTGTTTAAATTGTGTACATCTTCCTGATTCAATCTAGGCAAATCGTATGACTTAAGAAATTTGTCGATGCCTTCAATATCTTCTGTTTTGTTGGAGTATAAGTTTACAAAATAATTTTTAATTACCTTGTGTATTTCTATAGTGTTTGTTGTGATATTACCTTTTTCATCATGTATGCTGGTAATTTGAGTTCTCTCTCTCTCCTTCTCTTTGTTAGCATAGCTAAGGGTCTGTCAATTTTATTTATTTTTTCAAAGAACCAACTTTTTGTTTTGTCAAGTTTTCAGTTGTTTCTTTTGTTTCGATTTCATTGATTTCAGCTCTAATTTTAATTATTTCTTGCCTTCTACTGCTTTTGATCTGTTCTTCTTTTTCTAGGACTTTGAGATGTAAAGTAGGGTCATTTATTTGTTGACTTTTTCTTCTTTTAAGGAATGAACTCCATGCAATGAACGTTCATCTTAGAACTGCTTTTATGGTGTCCCAGAGATTTCGATATTTTGTGCCTATGTTCTCATTTACCTTTAAGAATTTTTTAATCTCCTCTTTGATGTCTTTTGCAATGCATTGTTCATTCAGTAGCATATTGTTTAGTGTCCAGGTGTTGGAGTGATTTCTATTTTTTATTTCATCATTGATTTCTAATTTCATTCCATTATGGTCTGATAAAATGCTTGGTAGTATATCTACTTTTTTGTATTTGCTAAGAGTTTCTTTGTGGCATAATATATTGTCTGTTTTAGAGAAGGATCCATGCGCTGCTGAGAAGAAAGTGTATCTGCTTGATGCAGGTTGAAATATTCTGTATATGTCAGTTAAGTCTTAAGTTACTGATTGTATTATTGAGTTCTATAGTTTCTTTATTCAACTTTTGTTTGGAAGATCTATCCAGTGGTGAGAGAGGTGTGTTAAAGATTATTGTGTTGTGATCAATTTGACTCTT